CCATCCATGTCTTTATGGGCCTTGCTTTGTGCACTGGTGCGCAGTCAGGTTGGAACAGGAAGGGGACGTCCCCAAACTCCTCCCACAAAGTTGGGAGCATGACATTGTCCAAAATGTCTTGGTGTGCTGATGCCTTAAGAGTTACCCTCACTTGAAGTAAGTGGCGGAGCCCACTTTCCCCCCATAATCCTGCCTCCACCAAACTTTACACTTGGCACAATGCAGTCAGGCAATTGCCGTTCTCCTGGCAACCGCCAAACCCAGACACGCCCATCGCCAGACAGAGAAGCGTGATTGGTCCCTCCAGAGAACACGCCTCCTCTTCTCTAGAGTCCAGTGGCGGCGCGCATTACACCGCGGCACTTGGTGATGTGCGGCTTGGATGCCGCTGCTTGGCCATGGAAACCCATTCCATGAAGCTCTCTACGCACTGTTGTTGCGCCAATCTGACGGCCGCATTGAGTTTGGAGGTCTGTAGCTACTGACTCTGCAGACAGTTGGCGACTTCTGCGCGCTGTGCACTTCAGCATGCGCTGACCCCGCTCTGTCATGTGACGCGGCCGACCACTTCCTGGCTGAGTTGCTGTTGTTCCCGGTTGCTTCCACTTTGTTATAATCCCAGTAACAGGTGACCGCGGCGGAATATTTAGTAGCCGGGAAATGTCACGGAAAACACCTGAATCACATGATTGGGAGGGGGAGGGGCCAATACTTTTGGTAATATAGGGTATATATATATATATCAGGACCCCTTTGCTTTATTCATGTTGTCTGTCATTGTCACACTTCAGTTATGGCCGGACGTCTGCAGATCAGGTCACACAATTGCTTTGTCAGATTTTTGGTTCCCAGCCCCGCCCACCTGCTGAGATTATTATGAACCGGTCGCTGCCTTAAGGATGTCCCCTTTATTTTCTATGAACAATGCAGCAGCAGGAGTAAGACTCCATGGCAGAGGCTCTGTGTGTATAGACGGGGGCCGGTATTGGCCATGTCACTTCTATTATTCTTATTGTTGTCTCTCAGCCGTGTTGTTGGTCTCTGCAGGACGACTTGATGAAGACGATCGGGCAGAGCGCGGCACTGGGGGCCTCGGGGATCGTCCTTTGGGGGAACAACGACTACAGCCGCAGCAAGGTGAGTCCACACACGTCATACCAGTTATCTCCCCCAATGGAGGCTGGAATTTGGGGGTGCCATTCATTTTTGGGGGTCGTCCGGTCGTCAGTTTCGTCCATTGTCATACTTCTGGTTTGTTCCGTCCTCAGGAGTCATGTCTGGCCATAAAAGGGTTCACAGAGGAGACGCTGGCCCCCTACCTGAAGAACGTCACCGCGGCGGCCGTACTCTGCAGCCGCGCGCTGTGCTCAGGGAACGGACGCTGCGTCCGCAGGTTCCAGGACTCTGATGTCTACCTCCATCTGGACCCCCAACTCTTCACCATCCGGCGGGACCCCCTCGGGAAAGGGTTTGCGGTGCATGAAAATCTCTCCGGGGAGAAACCGAGACGCATGTGGCGCCATTTCCAGTGTCGCTGCTACAAGGGGTGGCAAGGCAGCGGCTGTTCCCTACACCTGCAATGATTGGAGAACGCAGACGGACTTCGGATCACAAGGCAGCGTCTCAATGTCAACGGGGGGTTTAAAGGGTACAATGGATGGGCTTTAGGGTTACAGAAGCTCTTCTCATCTGTCATGGACTTGTTCTTGCCAAAAATGGACATCACTAGCACCAGGCACTGGGGGCATGTGCCCTGAATTTCCTGCAGGGTGTCCCGGGTCCCAAGGTCACCTGACATTTAATTTACAGTCCCCTGACCCCTGCACTCTGTACATTACACTCTCCTGACCTCTATACTCTGTGTGTTACACACTCCTGACCCCCCCCCTGCACTATGTGTGTTACACTCTCCTGACCCTTGCACTATGTGTCACACACTCCTGACCCCTGCACTATGTGTTACACTCTCCTGACCCTTCTGCACTATGTGTTACACACTCCTGACCCCTGCACTATGTGTCACACACTCCTGACCCCTGCACTATGTGTCACACACTCCTGACCCCTGCACTATGTGTCACACACTCCTGACCCCTGCACTATGTGTCACACACTCCTGACCCCTGCACTATGTGTCACACACTCCTGACCCCTGCACTATGTGTCACACACTCCTGACCCCTGCACTATGTGTCACACACTCCTGACCCCTGCACTATGTGTCACACACTCCTGACCCCTGCACTATGTGTCACACACTCCTGACCCCTGCACTATGTGTCACACACTCCTGACCCCTGCACTATGTGTCACACACTCCTGACCCCTGCACTATGTGTCACACACTCCTGACCCCTGCACTATGTGTTACACACTCCTGACCCCTGCACTATGTGTTACACACTCCTGACCCCTGCACTATGTGTCACACACTCCTGACCCCTGCACTATGTGTCACACACTCCTGACCCCTGCACTATGTGTCACACACTCCTGACCCCTGCACTATGTGTCACACACTCCTGACCCCTGCACTATGTGTCACACACTCCTGACCCCTGCACTATGTGTCACACACTCCTGACCCCTGCACTATGTGTTACACACTCCTGACCCCTGCACTATGTGTCACACACTCCTGACCCCTGCACTATGTGTCACACACTCCTGACCCCTGCACTATGTGTCACACACTCCTGACCCCTGCACTATGTGTCACACACTCCTGACCCCTGCACTATGTGTCACACACTCCTGACCCCTGCACTATGTGTCACACACTCCTGACCCCTGCACTATGTGTCACACACTCCTGACCCCTGCACTATGTGTCACACACTCCTGACCTCTGCACTATGTGTCACACACTCCTGACCCCTGCACTATGTGTCACACACTCCTGACCCCTGCACTATGTGTCACACACTCCTGACCTCTGCACTATGTGTTACACACTCCTGACCCCTGCACTATGTGTCACACACTCCTGACCCCTGCACTATGTGTCACACACTCCTGACCCCTGCACTATGTGTCACACACTCCTGACCCCTGCACTATGTGTCACACACTCCTGACCCCTGCACTATGTGTCACACACTCCTGACCCCTGCACTATGTGTCACACACTCCTGACCTCTGCACTATGTGTCACACACTCCTGACCCCTGCACTATGTGTCACACACTCCTGACCCCTGCACTATGTGTCACACGCTCCTGACCCCTGCACTATGTGTTACACACTCCTGACCCCTGCACTATGTGTGTTACACTCTCCTGACCCCTGCACTATGTGTGTCACACTCTCCTGACCCCTGCACTATGTGTGTTACACTCTCCTGACCCCTGCACTATGTGTCACACGCTCCTGACCCCTGCACTATGTGTCACACACTCCTGACCCCTGCACTATGTGTGTTACACTCTCCTGACCCCTGCACTATGTGTGTTACACTCTCCTGACCCCTGCACTATGTGTGTTACACTCTCCTGACCTCTGCACTATGTGTTACACACTCCTGACTCCTGCACTATGTGTCACACACTCCTGACCCCTGCACTATGTGTCACACACTCCTGACCTCTGCACTATGTGTTACACACTCCTGACTCCTGCACTACATGTTACACACTCCTGACCCCTGCACTATGTGTGTTACACTCTTCTGACACCCCCCCGCCCGCACTATGTGTGTCACACTCTCCTGACCCCTGCACTATGTGTGTTACACTCTCCTGACCCCTGCACTATGTGTGTTACACTCTCCTGACCCCTGCACTATGTGTGTTACACTCTCCTGACCCCTGAGCCGCTTTCATTTGTCTTTATACCTTTTTGGGGTTCAGCTTTATGTATGGATTTCCTTGTTGCAGAGATTTGCACTGTGTGCTGTTGGTCCCTGAGGGGGTGACTTGCCCTTCTGATATTCGCTCTCGGCAGAGAATGTAACTTGTCAAAGATATAAAACTGTAACATATTGTTCAATAAAATCTCACGCTGCATAAAACTGTGCTGATCCCGCCCTATACCGCGGCAGAGTGAGGGAGCGGCGCATAGCCAGACTTCTTCTACAGGTGTGGATCGGCTTCAAGGTGAACTCCGCGCACACAAAATCTTTTATTGAAATATATTCCTCAATAGATACAAAGGACAGAAATCCACTTCGTGCACCGAATACCTTCACATACCAGATATTACATTGTAAATGTAGCAGTGATACTATCACTGTGATGTACAGAGCTGTGGGAGGAGCCCAGTGGGCTCTAACTACTACAAGAACCTATAGGAGAGTGCGGAGACAAGACCAGTCACCCTGCACAAGAAGAGAGAGCATCAGTGACCGGTCTTTATTACAGGAGGGGGCGGAGACAAGAACAGTCATCCTGCACAAGGAGAGAGAGCGGTCTTATTACAGGAGGGGGCGGAGACAAGACCAGTCACCCTGCACAAGGATAGAGAGCGGCAGTGACCGGTCTTTATTACAGGAGGGGGCGGAGACAAGACCAGTCACCCTGCACAAGAAGAGAGAGCATCAGTGACCGGTCTTTATTACAGGAGGGGGCGGAGACAAGACCAGTCACCCTGCACAAGGAGAGAGAGC